TCTGCCATTTCACAGTAGGAAAGATACTCAAACGCCCCCTCCCCCAAGATTGGTGAGCTGTAGTTGCGGGACCTGAAGTAACCCGGGGTCCAAACCAGGCTTCTAGCTGCTACACAGGGGAATGAGGGAGAATAAACTTGAACAGTATCTGTCATAAGGAAGACTCGGGCGGGCCCAGAGGGACAGAGAGCATCTGTTTCATTCAACATGAAGTCTGGCCCCCTTGGTGTTCTGGCTGGGGAAAGGTCATCCCTTCCCGGAGCCAGGAGACTGGATGAGATGATCCTGCCAGCCTCATGATTCTCCCTTCCAGGCACCAGGAGAAGTCACCCACCCCGTCTTGGAGGCAGCTGCCAGTGCGGGACGGCCCACTCAGCCCCCACTCCTCATCCCCCCAAAGGGGCCGAGACCCACAGTGCACCTCCTCAGGGAAGAGGGAGGAGAGATACTCCTCTGAACATCCCAGAGGAAGGACTCCCACATCTTGGATTCATGAGGAGACAGACAGCCAGGGAGCTCACACCGGGGCCCCCACCTCCCAGAGATTCCGAGCCCCTGAAGCCACCGCCAAAGGGACACCAGCAAGAGGACTATCTCCGCTGCCTCGTTCCTCCAGCCCAGCCAAGCCCATGGGCCTCAGGCCACAACCCAGGGGTGAGGCTGAGGGTGCTTCCTCCCAGCCCAGGGAGCCAGCAGCTGTCCGCTCTCTGTCCCCTGTTAAAGGGCCCGCCAAGATCTCTGTCCGGCTGCCCCCTGCCCGCCCCCCCACTCCAGGAAGCAGCTTTCCAGGTATTGCAGGTGGAGGTCCCATGACAGAATTGGGGAGTGGCCCCCTCCCAAGGGCTGTCCTTGGGGACCTGGCTGGGCGCAGACATGGGGACTTCTCTGCGGATGCGAGACAAGGGGACCAGAAGTCGGATATCCAGGTGACAGCAAAAGCTGGGGAGACCTGGGGCCTGGGCCCACAGGAGTGGGAGGAGCAATATCCTCCCCTGCCCCTGGGTGCAACCAAGGATCAAGCTATCTACCATAGTCTCGAGGAGGAGCTTTTGGCCAACATGAAGCTGCTAGAGGTGGGGGGTGCCTGCCCCCAGGGCACAGGGTCTGGAGTTATCTCTCGAAGTGGAGTCTATGTCCCTAGCCTAGGTGGGCGGTGGCCTGAGCCTGGGGGTCCTTATGACAAAGTCATCCAGGAACTGGCTCAGGGCCCCCCACCCCTCCTTAAAGTGGACCTGGAAGCCTGGAAGGCAGCCTCTACAGGCTCCCCTAAGCTATCTGTTACCACTGGCCCAAGAAGCCCAAAAGGGAAACCGGAAGCCAGAGAGAGTGGGCCAAAGGTAAAGGCAAGCCTGAGTGCCAAGGGTACAGGGATGAAGAAGGGACCAGCTCAAGGAAGGCAGGACTGCTCAGCCCCCACTGTGTCTGCCAGCCTGGAAGCCCCCACACCTTCACCCTCAGACCCCAATTCTGACAAAACCCAGGCATGTCCGCGCAAGGCCAAGAGAACACTTCGAAAGCCCCAGAGAGTCCCATCCATCTACAAGCTGAAGCTGAGGCCCAGAATCCGGCCCCGGAGAGACCACAGGCCTGGGAAGCAGCCTTCACGAATCCCCAGGCCACTGACCTACCTCCACTTGGGTTCAGCCAGGGCACCCCCAAGGGGCAGGCTAGTGAGAGCACTGGGCAGCAAGGGAGTGGGGGCAACCCCGGTGGATGGAGCCTCAGCAGGGAAGGAGGAGGAAGGAACGAAGAGGGAAGAACCAGCTGCCCCACTGAAGAGCAGCCCCCAGCCTTTGGAGGGCATAGGTCTCCAGCAGCTTGATCAAGCCCCACTCCCACCTGAGGACGAGTCCTGGGTCTGAGGAGGAGCCTTCCCAGCCTTGAGCTTGTGAGTCTGGGGGAGAAGGGAGGTGAAAAGGATGCCATGTATCCACTGGACCCCCGGCTGCAGGGACAGAGGGGCCTTGGCAGGGGAGAGGGTGTGGGTGGGGTCAGAAGACAGATATAGGTTCAATCTGCTTGTTGGGCAAAGGGGCAACAACTCACTCCCACTCCCGGGGCACCAGGGCCACCCTATGTCTTCTTGCCTCCCCCCCAGAACAGCCCCCCAAACTCCCGGCCTCTGGCTATGGCCATTTCCACAACACTTATAAGTTATTAAACCCTTGTGGGTCTGTTTCAGAGCCCCAAACTTCTTGAGTCCCTCACTCGAGCATTGTGGTGGTGCAGGAAGGCACAGTTTCAAGGGTTTTCCCAGGTGCAGGAAGGAACAGCTTCAAGCGCTACCCACTGGGGCGGAAGGGGATGAGGGACAGGGAGCCGGGGTGAGAGGTTTCCTCTCTTGAGACTCCGCCAACCTTGCCAGACAGCCGCTCTCTCCTGGAAGCCACTGGTGTGTCAGCACCAAGGACAGGGACACACACAGGCCTTCAGGACTTCAAAGCTTTGCTCCGGGTTTTGAGAACTGAGATCACTGGGAGTCAAGAGGGATGGTGGAGAGTGTTCTTATCACATCTACATCCGCGAATGGGCCACAGCGGGTCAGCCACAAGTGGGAAGCTGGGATTGAGTCCAGTTATGAAAGTTTTCCCCAGAGTGGTGGGGGGGAGACCTTTCCACTTTCCCCTCCAGTGGTTTTCATCAGTGTGGGAAGGCTCAGAGGCTAGGTGGAGAGGTGAGTCCCAAACTCTTCTTAGTTCTCCTGGTTGACCCAGGCTCTGGGACTCAGAGCAACCTCATCGCCCTGACGGTCCTTCCACAGCAGAGCTCAGCAGGCAGGCCCTGTAGGGGAGCCCTTTCCCTCCCAGGGCAGGAACTGAGCCAACACCTTGTACAGAAACAAGGGAAAACACTCCCTGATTTTTAATCTGACTTCCGATCACAGCGCAATGGGCATCACACACACTTCCAGACCCTGTGGTGGGAAACCCTGGGGGGGGGGGTAGGACAGAGACTCAGAATGGGGGTGGAGGGAATCAAAATCAAATACCTGGAGTGCAGTGGAGGGGGTGAGGGGGGCCGGCCAGGCGATACATTCTAATGGCTCCCATAAGGGGCAGCCAGAGGCCTGGGTTCCCCATGCCCACCTCAGGTGCCTCAGCTGGGGGTGACGGTGATGGGGGCAGGTGAGATGCTGCCATCCCTCACCCCATCCCCCTGGTGAACCAGGGGGCAGGGATGCAGGGGATAAAAGGGGCAGGCCCTCTTCCTTACCCTCCCAGACACTCCAAGGTGTGGGGAAGGGGAGCCACCTCCTCTGTTTCTGAGGGAGGCTCAGAGAGGGCGGGTCACTTGCCCAAAGTCATGCAGCACAGCAGGGACTAGTACCCAGGCATACCAGACCGCCAAGGTCAGGGCAGGGCTGTGCTACACCCCACGGGTGGAGGGAGAATCAGCTGGGGAAGTGGAAGGGAGGATCAGATTCCCTCTCACACTGGATCTGGATAAATTCCCTACCCATGACCCCTCCCCCCCCCCGACTCTGCTCCATCACTACTCTGGGCTACCTGATTTTCTGGTCTACACACTGCAGCTGGGCTACACGGAGGCTGGGTTGATCTATCTGCTCCTCTTCTAACAACGGACATTCCTATCCTCCCACCACATCAGGACTCAGCCTCAAGGAGAACTCAGCCAGGGGCAGGGGACACGCACCATTGCTCCCACCCTCCAAGTACCCCAGTAATCCCTCAGGCCGCTCCTAGTATCTTCATGGATTTTGTTATTTCTAAATCGGTACAAAACTGACAGTGATCAGCTCCGGTGACGAGAGGTAGAAACCGGCCAGGCAGCCGGAGAAAATGGGGTGGAGTGAGTCAGGGCATAGGGCCAAACCGGTGTTGGGACAAGGGGGCATCAGATCCTGAGGGCCTCTATGTAGGGGTGGGGGTGTGGGCATATCTCCCCCAAGCACAGGGGTCCCCATAATTCTTTTAGTGGCTCTGCCCCTCCCCAGATTTATCAGAGAAATCTGAGATTCAAGGCAGGCAGGGTCTGGGGCACTCAGATTGGAGTGGGATGGGGAGAGGAGTCTTCACTAGCACAGCCGAACCGCTCTCCCCCAACCCCGGGACACCATCTTGCCCACCACCAGCCCCTCAAACCCGACATCCCCCAATCTTGCAAACCACCCAACACAGGAGGGAATAGAGGGCTGGAACCCAGCATCATGGAAATAAATTTATCCTTTGGGGGATTCCCTCTCCACACTCCCGTCGAGAAAAAAATGTTCTAACCCAGGGGGTGATCTGGCTTTGGGGTCAGGAAGGGGAGGAGGGGCACCCGGCAGGGATGGACCATCGAGTTAAGGCTGGAAGGTAGGTGGTTGTGTCTCTGGGGGCTGCTGGGCGGGGAGATCTCCCTGGAAGGGGGAGAGCTCAGCCTTCTCCTCCTGACTGACCTGGGATCTCAACCCTTGGACCCCGATTACGGTTCCTGGGCCCCCCGCATCTCTCTGCCCTGTGCCGGTGGTGCTGACGGTCCAAAGGCTGGCCTCACAGAGAAGCTGCCAGGATCTGCGACGAGCGGATGAACGAAATGAGAGCCCTGTGAACGGAGCTGGGGGCAGGAGGGTGGACGAGACAGCTAAGGACCAACAGACGCTTGGGCAGACAGACACGGGGAAAGAAGACGCAGGGCAATGACACACACACTCTCTGGAGTAGACGGGTGGGGGCCCCGGCCAAGGCAGCACCTCCCCACCCCCACGCCCCGCGCTCACCCTCGCGATCCCAAAAGGCCAAGGCGGCCCTTGGGGCCCCGCCCGGGGCACGGCGCTAGCTACAGCACTAAAGGCAGCGGGCCCAGGAAGACCGTTGCGGAGAGGGGCTGGGCCCGGCCGTTGCAGGAGGCTCCCTTTCGTCCCCCGCCTCTCCCCGCGAGGCGCGCGGCTGCGGGGGTGTGCCAGGCCGGGCGCGTCAGAGTCCTTCCCTCGGCGCCTCCCCCCCCCGCCCCGACGCCTGAGCCCCGCAGTCCCCGGGGAGGCCCCCGCCCGGGCAGGCGCGGCGTCACATGATGGCGCAGCGGTTGCGGCGCAGCGCGCCCTGGAAGCGCAGGGCGGCGTGCACGTGCTTGCAGCGGGCGCAGCCGACGCTCTTGAGCAGCTCGCTGAAGAGCAGCAGGATGTGCCAGTTGTACTTGGCCGAGCACTCCACGTAGCCGCACTTCCAGGTTTTGCGCACCAGGTGTGACACGTTCCAGCGCGGGATCACGCGCCCGCGCTGCAGGTCCCGCTTGTTGCCCACGATGATGATGGGCGTCTCCGAGGTGCCGATCACCCTGTGGGGTGGGGTGGGGGTGGGGATCTCAGAACTCCGCAGGCCGGTCTCACAAGCCCTGGACTTCAAAAAGGGCGGGCAGTGCCTGGTCAGTACTGCTACCACGATACCTCTGTTCCAGGCGCAGCGCTCAGCCCTCAGGGTGCCTGATGTGCTCTAATCAGAACTGATTTAAAAGGTGGGTACAATTGTTATCCCCATCTTACAGATGAGGAACCTGAGGCTTATCTGTTAACTGGCTTAAAGTGATGCAGGTGAGTGGCCCTGGCAGTTTTGTTCCCAGAGCCCCTGCTCTTAACCACTGTATTAGACTAGCCAGCCACCCCATGGTAAGAATCCCAAAGTGTGTTATTAGAAATGGGGACAGTAAAATGTGTATGTTTCAATGTGTGTGCTGGAACCAGAGGGTACTTCACCAATGTCCCACCCTCCCCACCCTTGCACCCCTTCCAGGGCAGTGGTTAGCACTGGGGCACCCACTGAGGTGGTAATGGACTATATCCTGGCCCCTCACCTCGTCTCTAGGATCTGCTGGCGGATGGTCTTGACGTACTCAAAGCTGTCAAAGCAGCAGATGTCATAGACCAGGATGTAGGCGTGGACGCTCCGGAGTCCTCTGCAACAGGCGTCTGCCCACTCCTGCAACACCCCCAGCCAGTGCCAAGGTCAGAGCAACCCTGAGGGCAACCCTCGCCCCCAGCCACCTCCAGCCATAGACTGACGGCAATCCCACCTGCCACTGCACCCCAAGCCTCCCACACCCACCCATCCCCAGGAGGCCTGGCCCAGAGCAGAATGGAGGAGCTCAGTGCAGCGGCTTCCCCACCTCCAAGCCAGGATAGGGCAGGTCACACTGCCTGACCTCCAGAGCTGTGCCACTGTCCTGTACACATCTGGAGCTGAGATCTGCCTTGTCTCATTTTATCGCCCAACCCATTTATGCATTCATCCATCCGCCTGGTCCTTTGTTCAAGTACAGGTATTAAGTGCCTGCCTTTAAGAGCCAAACCCTCTGAACTAGCTGTTGGATCTGTTGAAATCCTCCATCTTCCATTTTAAATGCTTCCTCCTCCTCCAGGGAGCCTTCCTGCAAGCAGGGGACTACTCCCTTCATTTCCTGTGTGCTAAGAACACTGATTCTACCTTATCCCAGTTCCCTTGTTCTGTTGTGAGCTCCTGCGAGGGCCAGAGCCAGGCCTTCCTCGTTTTTTGTGTTGGCTCTTAGCAGGCTCCTTCATTGTACTACCTAGGCTGGTGAGCTCTCTGTGGCCTTGAACCCCACCTGTTCCATGCTGGGATCCGTGCAACTCCGGCCTATAGCACTGCCCTTAGATTGCTCTCTGGAATTGCCCCTTCTGTTTGTTCCATGCTGCCCTCAGGGTTGAGAAGGAGAAAGGCCCAAGGAGAAAGAGACTGAGACTGGCTGCACAGTGGGGGCTGACTTAGACCAGGGCCCAAGGGCAGCGCCCAGACAGAGCTTCCTGAATGCTTATGGCGAATTCTCGGGAAGGGGCAGCCGCTGCAGAGGAAGAGGCCCCCCAGCAAGGCTGAGTGTACTAGAGAGAAGGTTCCCTAAGAGATGAATTAGCTGATTAACTTTCCAGCAGATGGCACATGCAAGAGCAGTTAAAGGCAGCTGGTGTGTGGAAAGAAGGGGGTCTCTGAAGCTGGGGGAGGGGAAGGCCTCCAAGGACACAGGGAACCAGGGTCTTCTCCCTTGGGGGCCCCGGGCAAGCAGGAGGGTGTGCCGGCACGTGCCCACCGGGTTCTGAGCTGCCTTGGGGCAGGTGCCAGGCTTGGAGGGCTGTGCCTGGGCTCTCCACCTCAGAGCAGGAGCGCAAGAGGAAAGACTCCAGTGTGGTGGAGAGTTCAGTCTGGCTCCAGAAAAGCTCCCGACTGAAAGGCTTGGCTTAGAAGCGGCTGCAGTGGATTTCCCCTGGGAGATGATGTGGCATCTTTTCTTTGTGCTCAGTTGTAACTTTGCCGCAGGGGGAAGATGCAGGGGACAAATCTAAAGCCATTGGGAACCAGGGACTGGCTTCTCGGGCCAGGGAAGCAGGGAAGACTGCACTCTGCTGGAGGAAGTGCCCTCTGGGAGCCTGCTCCCCCTCCCCCCCCCCCCCCCCCCCCCGCCCCAGGTGCGCGGGGTTCCTCCCCCACCCCCACAAGGAGTGGAGATCAGCAGGAAGTGGGAGCGATGGGGAAACACGCACAGAGGCTCCCACCTTCTTCCAGCTCTCTGCTGGGGAGATGGGACAGCTGCTGGGTGACCACCCCACCTCTCCCCCACAACAGGCTGTCTCCTCCAGGGGGCCTCCAGGCTGCCTTCCTTCCTGCTCTCTGGGGGCTCCAAGACGGGGAGGAGGAAAGTTCCTGATTGTCTGGGTTGTGCCTTCACCCCTGATTGAAGGGAGGGAGCAGGTAAGCTCAGCTTTCCTTCCAGCTAGCTCTGTGCAGGATTCCAGACTATAAGCGACCATCTTGGGGCTGTGTCAAGACAGAGAAGGAGCAGTGGATACTGAGTCCAGTTCTAAGGACCCAGGAGCTGAGGGAGGCTCGGCCACCTGGGTGCTGACCCTGCATTTGTTGCTCGTTTCTCTAACCCCAGCTTCTTCCTCTGACAGGAGAGGGGCTGTAGGGGGAAGAGCTGAGGCTCAGACCACTCTCCTGGGCTGCCTCTCAGCTGGCCTTGGGAAAGCATGTTATTTCTCTTTTTGGACAGTGGCCCGTGAGAGTCTTAGCTTTTATATTTGATCTTTGGCCATGCAGGGTCCCTTCTCAGTATTTCTCTGCTCAAAGTCCCTTTCCTGTGCTCCAGGATATCCAGGAGAGTCTAAAACTCAGGATTAATCAGGAAAAGGACAACAACCCAACAGAAAAGATGGACAAAGGCATTAATAGTTTTGAGAAAAAGAAACGCAAAAGCCCTTAAGCCTATGAAAAGATGCTCAGCTTCAGTCATCATCAGAGATACAAATCAAAGCTCCACTGAGAATATCACATCTCATCTACAGGACTGTCAGAACCCCCATAGTTGGACAATACGCTCTGATGGCAAGGCTTTAGGGAAACATGCACTCATCACATACAGTGCTCTCCAAACAACACAAAATATGCAACTTCCTAGAAGGGGAGGAAAACCTCCCCCTTTCAAATCCAGCTGCATTCATCCTTTGACCTAGCCGTGCCATTTCTGGGGCCCGATTCCACAGATACGCCTCCCTGTGTGCAGAGAGACAATGGACAAGGCTATCGGTGTGGGAGACTGGAAGCAACCCACTTGTCTAACAAGAGGGGACTCCATGGCTCCATGGTCCATCTCTCCGGGGGGGCGGTCAGTGCCACCGTGCTACCCACATTCAGACACTAACACTCGGGGAAGATCTCCAGGTTATAACGTAAGGCAAAAAGCCCAGGTGGAGAATAATTTTTTTTTCCTGTAAGAAAGGGAGTGGAATAAGAACACATTTTCTCATTTGTCTAAAGAAACTGGAAGTGTGAATAAAAAACCTGTGAGGATGGCCATCGAGAGGGGGGTGAGAATCAGGGTGAAGAGGGCACGGCGGGACTGGGATTTCTCTGGGTGTATCTTTTTATAGTTGTGATTTCTCTGGGTCTTTTTTTTTTTTTTTTTTACAAAGCTTGGACTTTTAAACTGTGTCTTACGTATTCCAAAACTGAAATTAAATTAAAATTTAATCTACGGCAAAATGTGAAAAAGTAAGCAAGGCTCAGTGAGCAAGACTGGAATGAGGTCTGCGGATCCACTTGGGTGCTGTTGAAGTCCCCTGCGGAGGAGAAGCACAGGGCCCTGACCCCTGACCCTCGGCCCCGACCTCGTGGTTTCCAAGGGGCAGAGGTGTGGGTTGGGCTTTTGTCTTTGGTGTGGATTGCCCACACCTGGGACGGGACTGCCAAGTGTCCCTGGACTTGGGCCACGGTTCTGCTGCCCAGAGTTGCCGAGATGGTACTGAGCCTGAGCCCCTGCCCCGGAGATGGCTGGCTTTGCGGTCACAACCAGCCAAGCCGTGGCCCCTGCCTGTCCTTCTAGAGAAACCTCTGAATGCACTCTGGTCAGGGGCTTCCTTAGGTGAGCAAATGTGTCTTAGAGTTGAGCCCCCACTTGCACCCTCTCCCCTGCCAAGCCAGAGGCAGAGAGAGAAAGGGAAGGAGGACTTGGTGGTCCCTGCAGGCTGGGGAAAGGAGCACTATCAGCCAGGGCACTGGGGGCACCAGAACCCAGCCCCTGCTGGAAGGCTGCCCCGTGCACCAGCCTGGAGGTCAAGGGGCAGAGCATCACTTAAAGAAAGGCCATTGGAGAAGAGACTGGCTGGGGCCTCCCGTGCTGGAGAGCCTACCTATCCCAGGCCCCCCTCCTACAGACGCCGTGGGTCTGAGAGCCCGGAATCCTGGCAGGTATCTAGTGTTGCTGCCCTTCTTTCCACTGCCCCTTCCCCGCCCAGCCCCACTTAGCGGACACAAGGCCACCAAGCACACACTTACTGTATTATGTAAGCACAGCCTGCTTGTCTTCCCCGGACTCTGAGTTAGGTGCGTGGCTCCTGGAGAGCGCAGCGCACATCCGTTTTGTGCCCCATTCTACCCTGGTGCCCAGCCCGCCATACATTACATGCTCGTGACCTAGGCGTGGAATAAAGCAGCGCACAGATGACTGCTCTGAGCAGGGTGGCCCGTGGTGCGGCACGGAGCCCTCGGAGCCAGAGGATGGGGGACGGGGCCAGAGCCCAGACAAGGTGGGAGTCCAGCCTCTCCGCTCCCCCTCCCAGCGCCCGCCCCCCGCCTGGCCGCTCCAGTGGGGCCCGTACCTGCAGCGTGTTGACTGGGAAGGTGCTGATGGGTGGGAAGTCGAGGATCTGGAGGTCGTGCACGTGGCCGTTCATGACGACGGCAGGCAGGTAGAGGCGGCGGGCAGTGGTGGGCACGCAGGCCTCGCTGAACTCGTTGTACAGGAACTGGCGCACGATGGCACTCTTGCCCACGCCTCGCGCCCCCAGCACGGCCACCCGGTAGGTGGAGACCATGCCTCCCGCCCCGCTCCGCCACCGCGTCCTCGCCGCTGCCTGGGGCTCCCCCGGGCTGCATATTCCAGGGGCTGGGGGCTCAGCCACCGTCAGGACCCACCATTGCTGCCCCTGCTTGCCCTGGGCCCTCTGCGGCCTCCACCTGGACCGTGGGGGACAAGAGGTGGGCTTGGGGGGCCCGCGTTTCCCTGGATCTGTCCTGTACTTGCCCGCCTCGGGGACTTGGCTGCAGCTGCTACTGCCCCTTGGCATGCCTTCCCTTTCCCAGAACACCTAGCTGCATCTCGAGCCTCTCCATCCTCCCTTCTCCGTCCGCCCCCCCCCCCGCCCCCCAGCACCACCCACCCACCGGTGGGAATTACTCTTTCCTGTATTATGACCTCTTGGCCAGGTCTGACCTCCCCAAGCTCCCCAAGCTTCCCCACAGAGCCCCGGGGGGGTGGGCGGGGGGGAGCCGTGTCCAGTGTGTCTCAATGGAGGCACTCCCAGCATTTCGTGGAGAGAGTTCTTTATTGGGCAGGCCGTCTTACAGCCCTGCTGCTAGGAGGTACCAGCCAGCAGCCGGCTCCAGTCACCATGATGACCAAAAACATCCCCTACTTCCAAATGCCCCCCGTTGAGAACCCTGGACCAGAGCCTGCCACTCATAGAGCACTGCATGTTAGCACACGCACATGGTGACCCATCGTCAGGATGGTGTCCCTCAGGGATAGCAGGCATTCCCACTTTAGAGAAGACTCAAGAGGGGGTGAGAAGTGGGCGCAAGGGCACACGGCAAGCAACGGCAGCTACTCCCCGCCACAACGTTGCAGTACCTCCCACCTCCAAGTTCAGCGATTCTAGCTGGTGCATGCCTACAGACCAAGGGCTACGTCTCATTCCCTGGCATCCCCTGCGAGCTCAGAGGGCCTGGCACACAGCAGGTGCCCAGGAAAGGGCTGCTACAGCCTTGCACCTTGCTCTGGGTTCGTTCGCTCCTTGTCTGCTCAGTTTCGGTGACTTTAGAGCTTAGGTATAAAACCCCAGCTATGACGTTTCCTAGCTGTGGTCCGAGGGCACATCACCTGCCCCATCTGAGCTACGCTCTGCACATATATAAAGTGGGGCTAATAGCCCCTATTTCTGAGATAATCCAAGTCAACCTGCTAACCAGCTGCCTTCTCCTTCTGATGGGGATGGTGACCAGGGAGGCTGGTATAAGCCTGAGACCGCCTGTCCAGGGACTGTTCGCAGGAGGGTGACACCAGTGCCTGCTACGTGGGCCCAGGGCAGATGGGTGTGCTGGAGTCCCACAGGGCCATGCTTTTCAGCATGTGTGCGTGTCTTCTCTGTGGATGTGTGTTCTTTCCATATATGCCCAGTTCACAGCTGAATGGCCCTCACTCTGGCCTGGCTCAGAAAATCCAGTCCACTGGGTATGTGTACATACAGCATAGTAAAACATAGCGCAGGATTTGGGGTGAGACCCACCACGGTCTGACTCCCAGCTCTGCCACCTAAAGTGTGTCCTTGGGCAAGAAACTTTGTTGGGTGTTGTGATGCCATGAAAGCGAGGTCATGAAAAGTAAAGCCCAGTACCCACAACAGGTGTGCAATTAACAGGGGCCACTGTTACGTACAGGGATCCTTCACCTATCTGAGGTTTTCTCAAATCTCAACGGGACTCCTAGCAATCCCAGGAAGGGTCACTAACCACTGTTGCTCACGTACATGTAGTGTGGTGTGTGTGTGTATATGAGAGACAGAGAGAGAGAGAGAGAGACTCTTCTCCCCGTTTTATTGAAAGTAATACCGAAACCCCAAACCAGAGACTCAGGGAAGTGTAGACCACACAGCCAGCTGAGCTATCAACTAAGACTAGGACCCTGATCTCCTTTCTGCCCCATGTGGTGTACTTTCCCCAACAGGTGTTTACCTACTTCCCTGGGCTTCCCACTGGGGTAAGGACTGGTCCCTCCTCCCCATAAATCCCTCCAGGCCCTGGGCCCCTCAGGCAGCCCTGGACACTGTCAGCTTGGCAGAGAGCCTCAGCTGGGTTAATTACATAACCAGCACAAGCAGGTGGGGAGGGGGGCACCCTGGGGGAGGAAGAGAGGGCAAGGAATGCAAGAAGAGTTCCCTACCTCTCTCTGGGTGTGGCCACTTAGAGGTATCTAGGATGTGTCCTACCTGCAGATTCTCCCGGACGCCACACTCCCTTTGCAGAAATCAACCCTTTCTGGAGAAGAGCTGGGAAATAAACGGGGATAGTGCTGGAGCCAGGGAGGGGAATGCAAGAGAGGCCAATAGGCTGGGGCCAGCCTCCTGGAACTCACCAGGCCCAAGTGTGGCCCTGTCCCTGACTCAGGGGTGATCGGTGCCCTCTCCCTCTTCTCAGGCAGGGGTCCTGGGTCTAACTATTAACCCACCGTCCCTAGCTGGGTGGGGACTGAAGGGGGCTGTCCCGAGAATCAGGGCCCAGCCCCCTGAGCGCTCCCTCCCCGAGGCCTGCGCTCTGCAGTGAGTCTGCAGACAGCGCCCCGGCAAGAGACTGGGGACACACACTGGGGCCAAAGCCTGCTTCTTTCTTGTCCCCTCCGCTCGACCTGGACACACGAGTCCTGCCCCAGACTGACGGGCCTGGCTTTGCGGTCCCATGGGCCGAGTCACATGTCTGCCCGCTGTTTGTCCCCACACGTTCGTGTGGGAGTGGGCGGGTGGGGGCGTTGGAGGCTGCTGGGCTCCCCATGACCTGATTGGTGGGAGTCTGGGGGGGATGCCGGAGCCCTGCCCGCTCTCCGCCTCCAGCACCTTGCAGGCACCCCCCCGCCCGCGCAAGCTCCCGCTCTCACGTGGCCGCCCCGCGCCGCTTCCCCGCCATCCCGCCGGCCCCCTCCGCCCTCCTCGCCCTGGCCCCCAGGCCCCGCCGCCCCGCTCCCCCCCACCGCCGCCCCCCACCCCGGCCCTGCCCCGCCCGCCTCCCCTCCTCCCGCCGCTTACCCGGGGCCGTCCTAGCTGCCCCCGGCCCTGGCCGGCCGGCCGGCGGGGCCGCGCTCCCCCCGGGCTCCGGCGCTGCCCCTCGGCTCCCCGGCCCGGGGGGAGAGGGGTGGGGGGCGCCCCCGGCTGCCCAGTCGGCGCGGGTTCAGCGGCGGGCGCGGAGGGCAGGTGCGGGCGCCAAGGGGGCAGGAAACCTCCAGCCCAGCTCTCCCTCCGGAGCGCGCCGCCCGCTCGCGCCGGCAGGAGGGAGGCGGAGGGGAGCGCGAGGCCGGGGGGTGGGGGGGGGGGGGGTCGGGCTGGCGTTCCGCTGGGTCCCTGAGCCTGACAGATTCGCCCGCGCGGCCCTGGAAGAATTCTTCTTGAACCCCGAGCCTCGATTTGCAGCCCCTCCCGACTCAACCTGCCAAATTTTTAGCTCCCCCCCCCCCCACGGAGGGGAGGGAGGAAGGCACGGGAGAGGCCCTAAAGCCTTTTGCTTCGTTCCATTCCTTCCCCCTCCACCCCGCCGCCCACCACGTCCACCCCAGCTTCCCTCCCTAGATCTCCCTCGGACCCTTCCAGACCAGTGCGCTGCAGGGCGGGCGCACCTGTGTGCCCCGCTCTCCGTGCTGGCGAAAGGGTCCCCCCTGCTCTCCCACCCCCCTGCGGAAGGACAGAGCGCAGGGTGGTCCCTCTCGCGCTTCGCGGCGGCAGAGTGCAAGAAGGGCGGGCCAGGCTAGCCGCAGAGCACAGCTTATCTCCTGCCAGTGAATGACCTCCACTCCCCTAAACCGACTGCTCCCCTCTCTTCTCCAGACCGGGAGATAGCAGCATTTGCCAGGGATGCAGGCATAATCAGCAATATATTCATTCTCAAACCAGCGGCGACGGCGGCGTTCACCCCGGATAGCTAGCATTTAGCGGGTGTGTACCCTGTGCCGCACACCGCGCTCCCGGCTTTGCCCGCGTCCTCAAATTCAATCCTCGCAATTCTAGGAGGTTGATTTTACAGATGAGATAGCCGAGGCTGAGAGGGGCCGAGTAACTTGCCCTACTGAAAGGCCAAATTTGGAATACAGACCCAGCAGCACTAATTCTGTGCTGCGTTGAAAAGCCAAGGTTCTGGAGGAGGGCAGAAGGAGGGGACCAACTAGTTAGGGGAGTCCGGAGGCTCGGAGGAGTCAACTTTGAAGGTTGTGGGAGAGGAGAGCTACAGGTGAGAGAAGGTGGGAGCAGGTGCAGAGCTTTGCAAAAGGGAGTCCAGGAAGCGGAGAGCCCAGGGGGCTGGGAGGCCGAGAGGCGGGTTGAGGAGAGGTCTCAAAGGTGGTGATTGCTGGGTAAGGAGTTCGGACCTGGCCCTGTGCCGGGCAGGAAGGCCGGGAAGGGTCCTGAAGCAAGGCAGCGACCTGGCCAGAGTTGCATTTTAGTTGCCTGCGGGCAGGGGTAAGGCCGGGGAAGCTCAGAGCGCTCTCCCGTGCTCTACCCCTGGGACCCAGCGTTCCCCAACACGGCTTTCTAGACTTTCTATTACTCGTGGGCTCCGGTTTCCTCACAGAGCCAGTTTCCTCCTCCCTTTGGGCTCTGCATTTTGGGCATGTTCCCAATTGCTCCTCCTCCCTCTCCCATCCAGACAGAAAGCGTAGTGGTTATGAGCCTGGGCCTCTGAATCGGACAGCTCTGGATTTAAATCCTGGCCCTCCTGCTTACTACGTGACTGTGACTGAAGGCACGGAACTTGAACTCTCCTAACTTATTTGTAAAGTGGAGATGTGATCAGTCGTCCTCAGAGCATAAAGGAGCTACGGGGGTACAGAGCTCTTAACCGCAGTGCTTGACCTGTAGGAAGTCTCAACATATGGCCTTTATATTTTGGTGCCTTTTTAAAAGACATATAGCCATTCACATGGGAGGTTGGACACCACCTTGAGAAAGCATTTCCATTTATTCTAGGTGGGCTCCTAGGGCATTGGGGTGGGGTATGACAAGGACCAGGGAAACAGCTAGAAACAAATACAGGGCTGAGAAGGATATGGCTTCCTCCCGGGAATATTCCTCCTGCAAGATTTTATGGACCCTTGTGTGGTCACAACAGGGTCACCGAGAGCTTTTCCTAACTTGACTAATTGTCCAGGGCACTGTCCATCCTCCATTGTATCT